AACAAATCCCCTCGTGAACTGGTTTCCAGTTACAAAGGCTCCATAAGAAATACCATCACCGCAAACACACACACACACACACGAGCATGCGCCATCCCCTAGCAGTACTCTCAGTAAGGACCCTCAAAGTGGTGGATCAATAATTAGAACAATCCTTATTACACGCTCTCATTTCCCCTTAGAGACTGAAGCTAATCTAGAACAATAGCAGCATACAGTAGAGCATGTCGCCCATTGGAGCATCCTGCACGTTTGCGGCTGTGTGAAATACAAGTGTGCGGATTAAAAACTGACTGATTAACTTACAGTGTGTTTGAGTGGATAGATCAACACATTGGATCTAATATGATCTGTAGATCTGTTAGGTTTAACAGAAATAAATGAGTTAGTGCAGTGGATCAATCCCGCATGAGAAGAGGAGTCCAGCTAAAACTTACTTTAGTATAAACTGTAGACCCTACACTTGATTTTCAAATTGTCTTCAAGTCGAGCACCAGTAAAGACAGTCGAGCACCATCGTTCTCTACTGAGCAGGAACCAAAGAACGCTCAGCTAGGTCTTCAGTGAAAGTACCAGTGTGTGTATACATGCTCATCTCAGAACTGTCCCTCTGAGATGAGCACGTCTACACATGAGAAGTTTTACTATAAACTGCAACAACTGCTTTTAACACACATCACACTCCCTCCGTGTTCATAAAAATACAATATACTCTACATCAATTGTCACTATCTAAATAAACAGACGCTTGGCAGGCTCCGCAAACTCGCTCCTGCCAGCCGTCCTGGCGGTGGCCATCTTGATGGTGAAAACATTTTGTTATAATGGGAGGGGTTCCCAATGCCAATGCAATTAGCTGAAGCATGCATGAGCGCTGAATTCATTAACCTCCATCATTTATGGGCTGGTGGGGAGGGGAGGAGGTGAAGGAAGCAGTAGGTGGGGGGGGGGGAGAAGGGAAGCGACACACGTGCCGGCTTTGTTTCAGCCACACCAGAAAGTGGAGTGGAGAGAGATGAGCGAGTAAAATGAGAAAGAGAGGAAAAGAAATAAAGAAAAATGAGCGATAAAGCTATTAAATTATGCACTGATATTATGTATCCTCCCTTCATGCTCGCCTAAAGCCTGATGAGTCTTTTCCCCACAGTTTATTTTTCCTCTCCGGGCCGGGCAGACTCTTGCCTTGCCACTGTTGCCATGGGCTTGCTCTGAAGGCAGCACAGGCTGAAATCCAAATTCAACACTGCCCATCGCCTTCTAGCAGTCTGCTAAGATCCACCACTGCGATCCGGTTTCAGATTAACTCTCCAGCATGATGATGAATGATGATGACTCTCACCTCTGATTATCAGAACATGCCAGTGATCTTTGGAATTTTGCTGAATGTACTACTGGTGTAAATTTATTTTTAATATTTGGCTTCTGGTAAATAAAGATGGATGATGCATCTCCACTTTCTTAGAAATGAAGCCAAAATATCATTGAGTCTGTGCAGCGGCAGCAGGGGACGGAGTCGATGTGTCTCAGATGTCAATCATGACATTTCATCTCATTCTCATAGCATCAATAAAGTATTTTATTTTGAACATACACTAGTGTAATAAGAACTAAAATGAAAATTTTTTGGACGTGTACTTTGATTGAGGAGGCAGGGTTTATATTCTATTTTGCATCAAGCCGCCAGGGGCTGACTTTACATTTGCGGAGCTGACATTTCATCCATCCTCACATACAGTCAGATAATGACACAATAATTGGACGTAGTTAAGAAACACTGGCAAACAGGCACAGACATTCCTTAGAAGATAAAAAACTTTATTAGATTATTATTATAGTGCAGAGAGAAGCTAGCTCATGGCCTATATAAGCCCTGTGAGAGAAACAATAGGTACTGTACCAAACATATTCTACCGGAACAGTGTGTAAAATTGGGACACAGCAGAAGGAAACCTATGCTTTGCTTAGCTCTGCCTCTCTCTCAGGGAATCCAATGGGGGCTCCTGGCTCTAGATAAAGTCATTAGAAGTAAAGCAGCTTGAGAATTTATGTAACAGTATAACAGGGGTTTCCCATTCAGATGGCCACTGTTGCTACTGAGTTTACACTTGTCAGACTTTTCTCACAACTTCTCAGGAAAATGAATCCATGCAAAAACGTCTGAACACAAACAAAGACGCACAGAGACGTGGTGTCTTCCCTCTGCCTCGTCCTCAGATTGACATACTGGGATTCCCAAGGTGCTAAAGTTAGGAACTGTACCTTCTTCTGTGCTGCTTTCCTCATGATACACACACACACAATCACACACAAACAAACAAACAGTACACCAAGTTGTTTGGCATCTGGCAGGGATTCCTCCCCAGACACCCTGGACTCCATTAGGCCGACACTGAAGTGAGTGGAGTCTGATAAAAGCAGCAACTATTTCTCAGCCCCCTCACATGCACTTTTTGTTCTCTGTCTGCATTTTGAAAGCCAGTTACTCAGGCTGGGCCCAGTACAGAGTATTATATCTACTCTATACTATTTTACTTGAGTCCATGTAGCAGACATTAGAGACTCACACAGTGGAACATAACAAGAGATGTCCATGGCTTGAACACTTCACTTTCTATTCGACTATAACAGGTCTGTGAGGGATGACAGGACCAAAATGTTTTTGCTCACTAATCTACAGAGGAGTAAGAGAGAAGTGAATGTGTGAGTGAGGGAGTGATTCTGGACACAGCCTGTGTTTCTCTGAACTTCACATTTCATATAACAAGATGGGAAACTGCACAGAAGACTGGAATGTGCACACTGACACATCCCTCTCTACACTAACTACCACTACTACACGCCTTAAACTAAATATGGTTTCGCAGCATTTCGACCTGCTTGCTGACTAATGCAAATGTATACACCAATGGAAAGGCAACACTCTGCTTTTGTTCTCTACACAGTTCTATACTGGCTTTACCTAAATATAGCATGGGTAGCACTCCGACAGGAGTGACTCAAAGCAGTTTGTTGCACAGTTTGCAACAAGAGGAACAAATCAGTTTACAACAGGAGCAACAAAGCTGAAGAGTTTGAAATAAAACAGTAATGGCAAACTGATGATACAGCATTAACACTAATTGGACTCTAAAGGATTAAAGGAAAAAGTTTCCACATGGAGACACATTGAGATCGTTCACATTTCTCTTTTCTTATTCAGCAAATCTTTCATAGAGTCTCTGTCATTCTTTGTTGCTGCCTGTGACTGAAATATTCATCGCTCACATACTCACTGTTTTATTCACATGTGTCTGTGTGTTTCTATGTGCTGTTGGACACAGTGAAAGTTGGAGGGCCACCAACGGGGGTAAGCATTGCATGATCAAGGTCAGCCAAAGAATAAACCCACAGGAGAGAACCTGGTGAGTTGAGAATCCCATTTGTGGCTCATCTGCAAGGGTGCGCGAGTGAGAGTGACCCACAGCGACGGTCTGAGGTTCGCATCTCTCCAGTAAATATGACAAAGACCCAGAAAAAGAAGAGACAAAAATAGTGAGGAAGACAGAGGAGGGAGAGAATGGTAGATTGGTGTGAGGACGGAGGGAAGGACAGAGAGGAGAAAGCTTATTATTCTTTGGATGGCACTATGTGCACAGTCCAGTCAATACAGCACCTCTCCATGTCTTCTCCTCTCCTCATCATCCCCTGTTCTCGTCTATGAAACATGACCCATCATGAGGACTATAAATCCTCCTATACAGATCAATATCTCAGACACATTATTTTCATACACAAAAGCACAGGAAAGATAAAGGTAGTGTGCACAGGCATGTTTACGGATTTAAAACTATCCTCTTAGCGTTAAGAAATCTTTTTATTTTGATTTACTTTTTGGTTTACAAAAGATTAGGCCACGATAGCTTTATTCCTGTTTATGCTAAGGAAGGTCAAATAACATTGCCAGCAGCATAATTCAAAACCCGGCACCCATGGGCACAAAGTACAGTAAATGTCACTGTTATTGACCAGAGCTCTTACGGTCAAATCACACCACGTTCAATGTGTAGACTGGACACAGTTCAGACAGCTGGCAGAGGTAGCTCATCATTTTTATACCTTGTGTCTCTTATTCCCAATTTTGCATGAGTTTCTCTCTCTGGTTTGTCTGAGAAGAGCTGACATGTAAGAGAGGAAGAGGAGCAGGGAGGGAGACCCACGTGCACTTCAGTTCCTCCTCCATCATATGAAAAGCTTTGTCATCAATAAATCAGTCGTGTATGCATTATACATGGCTGTCTGTGCATCCAAGCACACATGCACGCACGCGCACACACAAACCCACTGAACTACACACACATTTCCCCCCCAAAAAAGTCAAAGGAGTGTGAGATGAGTTTTGGGGGTTTTGTGAATTTTAAACTGTGTTTGCATGTTAAAAATCGAACATGACCTCACAGTTTACACAACTCCCAGCACTGAACGATTCGCAGATGTTTAAGGAAGCCCTGAGTGACGTAGTTTTGCTCAAGAATTGATAAAACATTGAAAGAGTCACAGGCAGGAAAAAAAGAAGCTCCGTGTGTCCATCCATACAGCGTTCACATCTAGAGACGGGTCGCTGACATCATCAGGCACAAACAGGTGAAGTTGTGTTTCACTTTCAGCTATTGTGTAAAAAGAGACACACAGAAGGATATGCAGACACTTCCCATACACACATGCACAATAAACACACCAGAGAAACATCATCACACTCACACACACACACACACACACACGTTTAGTCTACAAGGTTAAAGATGCTGTTTGAAAGGACAGCACGAGTCTCCATGTGTAGATGAATACGAGCATGTACATGATGTGAGGAGGAGAACTCAAAACCAAGTTGATGTAGCTGGTCAAGACAAGATGTAGACACACACACACACACACACACACACACACAAACTCAGTCACGCTCCAATGATGCTAGCTGAGCTGAGCAGATGAAGCCACCAGCCAAGCCAGCCAGTGCTCGTTACCTTCCTCTTTTGTTCCCGGGACGCTGCTCTCCTGCTCTTCCTCCGCTTCTCCTTCTCGTCCTCTAATGCATTCACATCCACTTCCCCCCGATTCTTCTTCAATTGGGAGGCCGCGTGAGCCATGATAGGTAAAAAAAATTTGAAGAGGCACCACACACCACACACGCGTGCCTCACCTGAAATCCCAGAGAAGTTCAGGGGCTGTATTTGACAAAACCAGGATCTCAGAGGAAAAAATCGGGGTAGAAAAGGAAAGGGGGGGAAAGGGAAGAAAAATGCCCTCCTTGAAAAGGAGAATGGAGAAGAGTAGGGTCTCTCTTTTTATGTAAGTATGTATATCCTGTGTGTCCTTTCTTGTGGTTGTTGCTCTGGTCTGATATGCCCTTTCTCTTTCTCGTTCTCTCTTTTTCTTTTAAAGTGATGAAAATACAGGAGAGAGGAGGAAGCAGCTTCTCCTCATCTCCTCGTCCTCCTCCTCCTCGTGTGTCATCCGCTGGCAGTGTGAGAGGAGCGGCGCGTCCAGGAGAGGTGAGGACAAACCGGATGGAGAGAGGAAAGAGACACGAGCATCACCATTACAGAGGTGGAGGGAGGAGAGAGAAAGAGGAGGGAGAGAGAATGGAGATGGAGGAAGGGAGGGCGGGTATGAGGGGAACGGTTACCACGGCAACCACGCTCTGTTTCTGGTCTGTCCTCTTAAATGTTTCTCTCTCTCCCCCTCCTCCTCCTCCTCCTCCTCATGGGTCCTCACCTGGTGCTCCACCGTGCAGATGTGTGTGTGTTTGTTCGAGCGTGTGTGAGATACAGTGTGAAAAAGATGAATTGTGTGTGAGAGGGTGCGAGAGCATGAATGAAGAAAAGGAACCAGGGGGTAAGAAAAGGAAAGGAAATGGTGAAGGAAGAAAAAGCAGTGTGTGTGTGTGTGAAAGAGAATGTATACCCCCCACCTATTTTTTATCACTCACACACTCACACACACACACACACACACACACACACACACACACACACACACACACACTCTACCAGATGGAGGTGGCCAAGTGTGGGGATGGAAATGGTGATGAAACATGTAAAGGACACGGGTGAAGGGAAAGAGGGAGGGAGGAGAGACAAGGTGATCCTGATGGGAACAGTGCACTAACATTACACACACACACACACACACACAACTGCGACAGTGTACTTGATTTTTTCATGTAATGCTCATACCAGAGAAAGATTGAATGAATGAATGAATGAATGTCAAATTGAACCAAAAATAACATTTGTGAAGTGAATTAAATAGATAAACGACCGCGCCAATAGAAAAATCTCAGTTCAGAAATAGATTACTGAGTTTAGTCGTGTGCCTCTCTAACCTCAGTGTGCTCATCCCACCATCTGGGTTCACTGACATCATGATGGGGAGGTCAAACAGGACCAGGGGAGCTTTTGTTTCTCCAAATCACTCAGGTCTTTGTTGAAAACAGAGGAACAGAGGAGGAGGAGGAGAAAGAGGAGGGAGAGACAGGAATAAAAAGATTTACACAGAATGGGAGACAGAGGGATACAACAAAAGATCCTGTTTGATTTTCCGTGACTGAAGCACGGAGGAAAGAGATGAAGAGGAGGAGGAAGAAACACACCAGACGTCTTATTTTGGGACGTCCTTCACATCGACCATGCTCACGTCTGACATGGCAGCGGGACACAGACGTGAGCACGCAGCGGCCATCTTTGTGTTTCTTTGCCTGCCTGCGTGTCAGAGGCACCTATGAGCCCAGCTGGGTCCTGTTGATACCGAGAGGCTGCCTCACCACATGCCTGTCTGCTTTTGACAGAATCTACTGTATCCAGTCACGCCTCTGACTGTACATATAACTAAATGGGAACCATATGGTGAAAAGCCGAGAACAAGCGAGGGGATGATCGAGCACTGCTGCTAGAGAGAGAGGAGAACAACCCTCCAGGGAGAGATGACAGGTTTAGCCAGTGGACACCAGCCATGTAACAATATGAGCGTGAAATTCTCTTTTATCCACCTCAAATATATTCATCCTCTCGCTTCATTTTTCTTTCTTTTCAACCACAAACACCAGCACGAGGGGGGGATGATGCTGACTTATAGCCCCCATCATGCATCAGGGGGTGTCACATTATGCCAAATTATCATGCGGTTGCTAGGCGAGGGCCAATGGGGTGGCTTTGGGGAGGACAGGATGGATGGATAAGGAGCGTGGAGGTAAAAGGGATTGGGAAAGGAAGGAAGAGGGGGGTGGGTGCATGTGCATGTGGAAGCATGGCGAGGACGGGGCATATGTGCACATGATAAACAAACTGCTATCATGAAAAGAAAAAAAAACCCTTTGTCCAAGGAGAAATATTCAAAGAGAAATCATGATGAATTAAGAGGAGCAGGGATACAAATACTGTAAGGCAAATATATAAAAACCTATTACACTCATAAATGACCATTTAGTCGCTGCCAGTTCTAATGTCTTTTTAACAATTCATTAACTGACTGAAAATAATCCATTCACACTTTGATTGCCAGAAGAACAGTAACCTCCCATAGCTATAGTAAGAGCCACTGCCAAGGTGGCCTATATTTCAAACAGCGTTTTACAAGCAAAGTAAAATAACGATGACTACAACAGATCAGAGTTGGCCGGTGGCCGCTGAACTCTATAGAAGTGAACGATTACTGGACGTTTTCCACTCTGGGACGATAAATCACACACACACTACGAAGAATATATGCTATACTACTATTAATGTACTAACCACTACTACTAAACATTAGTGGTATTATCAGAGCTGATTTGTTGATTCCTCAATTGCTGTAGTTGATGAATAGAACATTTATTTACAACTATTTTGACAATCAATTAATCAGTTTTATTTAATTCAAAGCAAATAAACTGTAAATGAACAGAGCATATTTGGGTTTTGGTGATTTTTTAAAATTTTAAATCAAACTATTTATAGAGAATTTAATCGATAAAGTATTTCAAACCAATAAATAAAATAGATGAAATAAAAAGAAGAGTTCATGTTATAGTGAATCTATCATTGGTCTTTTAGGAATATATATATTAAACATTATTAAGCATTATTCAAATCACACACTATAAAAGTACAAGGTCCGAAGGGAAACTTTCTAAATCCTTATATGTCTTTTAAAAGCCCCTGAGACGATGTTACTGGAGTCTGTCTCTTTACTGTTATGAGCTGCGTTGTCCTGAGTCTGAGTGACCCGCTGCTGCAGCTCCCGTGGGTGCAACACGACCAATCACGGCATCAGTCTCATTGGCCCTTTGACCTCTGCAGCCACAACAGTGTGTCCCCATACACCAACAAAAAAAAGGGCCAAGCAAAGAAAGCATCTGGAGGGTGTGATCTGGACAGTTCACTGTGAGGTTACAGAATATTACCGACACAGCCGAGCTCTGAATTTCACTGCCCTGTCACTGTCCTGTCCATGTTCAAACACAAGCTCCTGTGTCCTAAATATTGTTTCCTTTTTGCAGCCTCGTATAGATTATTCACTCACATGCACGAGCACAGTCATTGTGCTGCAGGAGTTGTCACAAACTGTATATCTTGTGTCGTCATGTCTAACATCTGATCCGGGGTTCAGAAAAAGGGAAAAATGAAAAGCAGCGTGTCAGTCCAGCTAAACTGAATCATTCTCTGCACTCTGCTACCCTCCAGTGGTCCACAGCATCAACTGTCCCATACGTCCTGGGAGCACAGTATAATGCAATTCAAATGTAGGTCTTATACAATACAATTATATCAGTGACACATATTTGTCAATTTATACCAAATTGTCATAGAATAACATCAAAGCCAGGTTTGAATTCAGGCAACATGACCTCAAAAATGAACATGTTTATATGGCACGAGTATACATGATTTTGTATACATGTTTTAAAGGATCTTCATTTTAAATATTTAACATTTTTCCTGTCTTCTTAAAACTTTCACACCACCAGATCTCGACCCAAACTTAGATCCAACATACAGAAATTAAACTCTGTATGAAACAACTTTGCTACTAGACCAGGGTATACCTGTCAGTGTATGTATTCTTTATACAACATAAATCTCCTCCTTTTCTTCTCTGCTAATCCCAGAGTGTGAGGAAATCTTTGTCTGCTCTGAGTGGACTAGAAGAGCCTCGAGGAAGAACGAAGAGAAATATGAAAGGTGCAGGGTCAAATAGCAAAGTGCAGAGACTGACAGGAAATGCTCCACCCACGCAGAAAGCCCTCCTACGCCACCTAAACTTGGCCCAAGGCCTAATGCATCACTATGGGGGGGGGGGGGTTGCAATATATCAGAGATACATATACGGATAGAAACATCTGAGGGTGGATGTGAGGCGAGAATTTCAAACAAGAGAAAAGAAGTGAAACCAGTCATGTGGTTTGCAGACATGAAGATGAAATATCTGGAAAATTGGTTGTGGACATTTTCCACATATAAACAAGGCAGCTGGATATGTTGTGAGTCAGATGTGTTCACAACAAGAAGAACATTTAAGAATATTCAGGTGAGGGCTGGGAGCAGGCGGGAGACAGGACTTGATGAATGACGCTGTGGAAATCATGTGTTTTTTGTTTACAGCACATCAACACCAGTGTCTGCCCTTATCGGCAGAGGCTCTGGAATCCCTTCGTCATTCCTCGTTGACACACGTGTCCTCTTCGTGCTGTTTTCCAGAGAGGGGCCTGGCAGGAACGATTCAGGAAAATGTGACGTTGATGTCCTCACATTCTGCCCCTTCGGGAACTTTTCAGGCAAACATCCACACTTTGGATGTTTTTATCATCGTGTCCACCAGTCATTAAACTGTGTCTCACTCTCACACAGATCTCTCTTCCACACCCTGTATTCTATCTCTCCCCATTTTCCTTTATTTCCATCATGAATATGATTTGAATGACTCCTCTCCAGACAAGCTGAATGTACCCTGAGACAAGCGCTTTGGCTTTAACCCACTTAGCCACCAGTAACCTACCTAAATGTGTGTCACGACCGAGCATTCCCTTTCAAACCAGAACAAAATGTCCTTCCATGGTTTCCCCACTGAGGGGCAGACAGGACATTCACAATGGAGAGGAGAAACACACTGA